AGCTAAAGTCTAGCCAGCTGAAACCCGTTTTGAAAAACCGAGGTCCAAAAACGAAGCGTTCCCAAAAGTAAAAACCAAGTTTGAAAAACATTGTATATGGTATAAAGTATTGAAAACAAGACTTGTTTGGTAACAACCAAGTCCTCAAGGTCGTAAATCACGTGCGTACGGTTTTGACCGTTTTTCACGTGTTAGACCGATTGACCAAGATACAAAAGTGGTTTTTGCAAAATAATTATTCGGGAACCTTTAAAATATGCTCAGAGATAAAAACAGGGTTTAAAATATTGAAAACCACGGAGTTGGTTCGGGCGCCAAAAACCGAACTCCGAAAACCGAACGACGAAAGCCGAACGCCGACTTAGGTGGTTTTGGTTCTGAGCAAGGACCAGGGATTTTAACAATAAGGAGATTTATCTAAAATGTTTATTTTGATGCATAAAAACATTTTATGATTTTGTAAAATAATTTTGACTCTTTGAGAACCGAGACTTGAATTGATTATCGGTTTTGATCACAAAAGACCGACTCGACTAAGTCTTCAATTCTTGATCTGTCCTTGAGTCTTTTAGGTCTTGTTCCAAGCCATTCTTCACGCCTTGAGTTATTCAACGAAACTCTTCATATCCACGGCAGTTTGGCAATTATCAAAACCTGTCAGAAATGAACACGACTTTAGTTTAACATGCAAAGTGTGTTCCAACAATTCTTCGGTACAAGTTTGTGCCATTAATCCTAGGAAATATAGAATTTTAATTTTTTATATTTAGATTTTGAGACAGATTTTGGTCTATTATGAATAATTCCAAGTGACATGCCAGACCAGAAGGAATTCTGTGTCTTTTCAAAGTTTTCTCATTTCCGTCCCAAATGAAAAGCGACAGAATATTTTCATCTTGAATGAAAAGAAACAAAATAAATAAAGCTGGTGAATTAGAGCCTGTTTTTTAGGGTTTAAATTCTTCTAATTTTTTCCAGTTTCATTAAATTCCTTCATGTTTCTTCCAATTTCTTTCTAGTTTCTTTCAGTTCCTTCTAATTTTTTCTAACTATTATCATTTTTTCAAACTCTTTTTACTCCACAACCAACTGCGGGCTATAAAAACAATATATTTTTAATGTGATTATTATTATTACAATTATTATGTTCATAACAATAGTTTATAAAATCTTTTTTCATCTCACTATTTTTACAATTCACATTCATTATAATTTTTTTTCAACTTTTTAACATGAATAAGACAATTTTTTTTGTATATTAATCTACATGGTAAAATAGGAAAACAACAATATTTTAAACTATTTTAAAAAATTATGGATAAAATAGTTATATAGAATGTTTTTTTATTTAACTTTATATGAGACCCCTCACATTTCTCTTTATTACTCAAAGACTTAAATAGGAGTTAACATAAAAAAAGTACAACAATAAAAGTTCTATATCTTTATTCCAAAAAGAAAGAAAGACCAAATTAGGACTAAAACAATGAAAATATACCAAAATAGGACCTCCACGTTTTTATCCGCGAAATATGACTTACATTACCATACATGGTCATATACATTACCAAAAAAAGTATACCAATTTGCACATGTATGTACACGTGAAAGTCCTATTTTGGTACTTTTCTCTATGTTTTAATCCTATTTAGAGTGATTTCTATTCCAAAAATACGAGTTACAATGAAAATGAAATGTCAATCATTAAAGAAAAAATAGTTTTATTAGAATTATTTTATTTGCAATAGTAGTTTTTTCTGTATGAAAAATAAAATACATTTTTTAAAAAATGTTATGATAATAAAAATAATAACAATAACAACAATAATAATCACAATAATAATACGGAGTAAAAATTTATAAAAAAGAAATAGAAAAATAACATTAAAATATATAAAATAAATTTTTAGTCTCCTATTTTTTAAAATTTTTCTAGTTTCTTTGAATTTCTTTCAATGTTTTAAACATCTTTTTAGTCTCTATTTTTTCTCACTTTTGAGACCAGTAGACAATTATGAGACTAAATTACCTCTCTTTCTAACCTGCATTCTTCTAGTACGTGAACGGTCATATTTTAGAGAGATATTTAAAAATAGCGTCGGTCTTAAATTTGTTCTCTATCATTGCATTAATTAATTTAACCACATATTACATATATATTCAGATTAGTTATGAAATAATTTTGAGCGAACACAGTATATTTAAAAGTACACACATAAAAGGAAAATGTACCACATTAATTTACTAATTTCTAACATACCCGACAATAATATTAAGTACAATTTGGACGACAAATACATACACACATCTAAATAAATATATATATCGGTTATTATTACAGCATATATGGAGAGCATTATTTATAGCATTTTATCATCATAGGCGGAGGAGGCCATGGCAGTGTCAGTAATGCGGAGGCCGGTGTCGTAAACCTCCCCGCATTTCCAATCCTCCGGCATCACCTTTGTTGCCCAGTACCACTTCCCCTCCATCCCGGCCGTCACCACCACCCGGAACTGCAGAGGCCCCGCGGGGACTCTGTTCGTTTCCCAAATTGCCCCTCCCTCCCCGCCGCCTCTGTCCATGAAGTTCCAGTTCTGGGACCCGACCCGGGCCACGTCCACCGCAACGATCTCGGTCCGCGCGTCCAAGTTCAGGAACCGGATGGCGAGGTGGCTTGGGGACCGGCTCGACTCCTCCACGCGGATTGCGAGGGTGTTGCCCGCATTTGAAGCACCAGTCGTAGTGGTCGTTGTTGTGGCAGAGCATGAGAGAGTGAGGAGGAGGAGGAGGAGAAGGAAATATGACTTCATGTTGACTGGGGAAATCATGTTTGAATTGATTGAAGGCAAGAAGAAAATGGAGAAGAAGACGATGGGGGCAATAATGGGAGTGGACTAGTATTTATAGTAGGGGATGTTTGCGCCTATTGTGAACCATTGCGTCCAAACTCCAAAATACGTATGGCGCCACGTCATTACTTTGTGACAAAAAAAACAAAGAACGAGTCATTTGACTAAAATACGCGCAAAGGGTTGAATCATCATTAACTAAGTACTCCCTCCATCCCGGTATATTCGTCCACTTTTGACTTTTAGAACTGTTCATCAAAGCACTTTGACTTATCAAATTCTCTCAATGTGTAAGCCTAAATATAGTCATGTGTGATCTTATTTGATTTGTCTTAACATATAGATTATTAATATATAATTTTTATAATTTTTTAATATACAAATTACAAGATAAAATGGATTAAAGAAGTGCATTGGATGGTGTGTAAAAATGAAAGTGGACAAATACTCTGGGACGGAGTTAGTATTTCTTTCTGTCAAAAAAATAAAATAATAAAATAAAAGAAAGTACGAGTATTTCTTTTCTTTTAAAGAAATGGCAACCAATAAGAAGAGTAAATTTAAAGAAATGACACCGAGTCCTCCTAGTCAATTTTTTTAGTTTTTCTAGTTTTTCCAACTATTTTCATAAAATCTTGGAATATACTCTTTCCGTCCCCAAATAAACTTCTCTTTTCTCCTAAAAAACCCCTTTTACCCCTTACTTTTTCATACCCTACATATCACATCATACATTTTTACTAATAATCTACAGATCACATCTTACCTTTACACATCAAATCAAGGGTATTTTTGGAAAGTCAACACAAAAATATTCCTCCCTTAAATCCCCAAAAAGTCAAAAAAGAAAGTTTATTTAGGGACGAATGGAGTATAAAGTTTATTACAAATATATATATTCTTTTATAATAAATATTTGATAAATAAATTGAGGTGTAACGTAACCATAATAACTTTTTAAAATTTAACATTTTGTATTTATGGTAACTTTATACTCTAATTAAAACAAATAACAAAAGTAGATTTTTTTGTATGAAAAAAGACAATACTATTTTTTATCTTAAAGACATTGATTAAGATAATGGGATTATGAATATAACAATAATACTAATACTAATAATAATAATAAACTATAAAAATAACAACAATTAGAATAAGAATAATACAAAAAATAAACTTATAAAGTTTTTAAAGTTTTTTTTTAGATTTTCGCATTTTTCAACGTTTTCCAGTTCACCCAATTAGCTAATTTCTTCCCGTTCATTCTAGTTTTTCCTAGCTTTTTCTAGATCTTTCCAGTTTTTTTCCAATTTCTTCCAACATCTAGCTCTTTTTTTCTAGTCCTAAAGAACAGGCCCTAAGTCCGCATCCCCTTTCCCGATCTCAATTTTCACCGACAGGACTTTGCCGCTAGATGATTTGTTATCGTCCTCCAGAATTATGTCGCCACCCACCCTGTATCCGCGCCACCAACATCAACCACAAACACATCTAGAAAAATACTCTCTCTGTCCCCCCATAGATCTTTCCAATAGCCCTTTTTCTTTGTCAACAATAGATCTTCTTATTTCATTTTTTAACAATTAAAATACCACAACTACCCCCACATACTTTATTTATTACACCTCACCCACCTCATTTAATACACTCCACTCATTTTCATTAAGGGTATTATGGTAAACTTTCACCTTTTTTCAACTCTCCTTAAAAATCATCAAAAGTCAAAATGAGAACATCTTAGAGGGGACGGAGGGAGTAGTAGATTTATTGGTTTGGTCGAAGTGAGCATTTTAACCTAACCGACAGTCAAACCATTTTTAAAAAATCGAACTGAGTCATATAATTTTTGTTTCAATTTTGGTTATTAGATTAGAAAATCTCAGTTTGTTTCGTTAATCGGTCGGTTTTGGGCTTTAATAATTAAAATTGACCAAGAAACAGAGTCATATATATGTATGTATGTATGTGTGTGTGTGTGTAGACACACACACACACACACACACATATATATATAAAACTTGGCTGAGTCCCATCGGAATCACCGCTGCTGAAGGAATTTGAGGGGTTGTGACTTGCACGACCATTGTCTCGGTGGTAGCCTGTCCATGGGCAGAGTTGGCAGCAGTGTTTTGTTGGCTTGAAGACATTTTGAATATGTGGCATTTTAGTTAGTAGGTTTTCTAGACGAAGAAATAAAAAACTTTGACTGGTCTCACTGTCGGTGCCAAAAATGATGGTGTAAATTAACCACCTGAAAAATTACTCTAGACCGGGTCTAAAATAATTTTCTAATCCTTTATATATAAAATTTGGGAGTTCAGCTTCCAGAATGATAACATTTGGCATGTTGACTGGACAGAATTTTAAACAACTCATCAGTCATGTCATCAACGAAAGTGTATCAATTGGGATTTCCTAATTATTTTGGATCTAAAGTACCTTGTCCAATGAATGGCTGGATATTAAAGGAATTTTTTTAGAAAAAAATTAAACAACTCATCAATCATGTAATCAACGGAAATGTATCAGGCAGTTTTTTTGACATGTCAGCACTCCATGTCATCAATTAATATTTAAGGAACCAATTAACAAAAAAAAAATTATTTTTTGGAAATTAAATTTCGTATTTGTTACATGTAAATTTCTCAGCATAATCGTGTTTAAAATTTTTAATATCCTAATTCATTGTTGGAAAATATTTAAATTAAATAATATAATTTGAAATTGAAAAAGTACTCATATTCAAAAAAATAATTTAAACAAATAAATTTATTCTGAGAATGCATAAATTGGTAAGACTAAAAGAAATTACATGTGAATATTTGTTTTTACTTTGTATTAATACTGATTGGAGAGATTTTCCAATTTTTAAAAAAGAAAAATAAATATATAAAAGGAAATGAATTTTTATGAGCATGTTTATTTAATAGAGCATTGATTTTATTCTGTATATATTAAAAAATTCTAAGTCAAATAACAAGTAGGTTCTATTTTAAAATTAATATTTTTTATTTTTAAATTATTATTTTCCATTACTAACTTTGTAAAAATTTAAAGATAAGTGCCTCAAAATTACTATTTTCAATTAATAATTTGTAAAATGATGAAGACTATGTGTAAGAAATTAATTATTCAGAGTCACCCACTAATTTGTTTTGGAAAAATGAAAGATGTAATGAGGTTTTTTAATAATAACTTCATAAATGAACCATCTTGAGGGAAAAACAATTGTACTCGGAGGTGATTATATACAAATTCTTTCAGGTTTACTCATAGCGTAGAGAGAAGAAAATTGTGGGTGCTACCACCTATTCCTCACAAATGTGGTTGTAATGTAAAGTTTATAGGTTAGCCAAGAATATGAGATTGTATTTATCTACATGCTCTTGCATGAATAGGGACACGTAACCTTTTTCTGTATAGATAAACAAAGTCAAAGATGGAAAACTTGGACAAGTGATCGATGAAACTCCTGACATTAAAATGACGCTTGAATTCTTGATTCTTGACACAAGTTACCCCTCAAGAGTATAATGGACTTAACATATCCAAACCTATTAGAGAACATGAAAAATTATTTTTTTTGAGGATAGTGCACTATTAGCACCCACACTTCACTACTACAAAAACGAGCATATAGACCGCCCCCAATTGCATCGGTTACTGAAAAAACCGATGCAAAAGGTCTAAAGCATCGGTTATTTTAAAGGACCGATGCCATTGCTCCGTTTTTTAAATTTTTTAAAAAAATTAAAAAAGTATTAGCATCGGTATTTAAAAATAACTGGTGCAATTGATCAATAGCATCGGTTTTTTTTAAACAACCGATGCTAATATTTATTTTTATTTTTTATATTTTTAATTAAAAATAAAAACAAATTGGTTCTAAGCTTGCAACCCATGCCAAAGCGTGTTCTATTTACTGACCTCTCTCATTTCTCGTTTTTATTTCCACTTTCAATTACAGATCGCATCCAGCCGCGTTCGTCGTCTTCCTTCTCCGTCGACGCCGTCTCCTCGCTAATCTTCATCTATCGCCAACCACTGCCTACCACCAATTCCGTCAAGGGATCTTCAATCTTCTTCAATTCCGTCGGCTCCACCCGTGGAATCTTCAATCACCGGACTCGCCAATCTTCCACACCGACCCAGTGGAATCTTCCTTGCCAACAAAAACATCTCAAGGGCGTCGTCATCCCAGTTGAATCTTCCGATCCGTTCATTCCGTCGCTGTTGCAGCCATCTCCTCCGCCCTCTCCCCGTCACCGTGTAATACGCCTCCTCCACCGTCTCCGTCCAGATACTCTGCCACCATTGACTCCCGGTCCGGTCGGACGAACTAGTATGAGGTATTTTCCCTATTTTGCAGTTATTCTCTGAATTTCTATGCGTGAATTTGCACAAGTTATTCCCGATTAGTGTAATTCTACTTGTACTGAACATATTGGTCAGTGGTGGATTCTCTGTAAGTGCTTTGTTGTGACTTTGTTTTTGGTGAAACAAAAAATTCCTAGATTTTTATAGAAATTTTGGAGCACTTAAGATTCTTGATAGTTTATTAATTTTTTGATATCTCATAAATTATATCAAGCTGGTAAGGATTTTTTTATTTTTGGTTTGTTGATGTGTTAATATATTGATTCCATGTTTTTTTTGGTAATGTGCATTTGGACCCATGTTTCACAAATGAGTATTTTTAAGCCTACGTGTTTGTAATGTTACTATATCATGAAATAGGATTGGCATTGGCTAGGTTTTAGACTGAACTATAACTGCAATGAATTTCGTTTCTATTAATTTAAAGGTTCTTAGAAATAATAATTGCTTTTTTTGTGTTCTCATGTTTGCCACTTAATCCTTTTTCGGTTAAGAATTAATTATTGTTATCATTTTGGCATAAGAATACTCAGTGTTAATACATTATCTTCTGCCTAAACTATTTCATATGCTAGCTTCAATTGCAAGTGCATGTGTAGTAAAACTGAATCTGGCTTTTTATTAGTTGTTGAGCAAGTTAGTGGGAGGGACCATGTGCTGAACCATCTAAGCATTCCAGCAGCATGCTTCACTCATCCTGAAATCAGTATGGTTGGACTGACAGAGGTATGATTTCAAATTTCAAACATTTGAAACCTAGATACCATACAATCATACTGTTTGTAGTCTTTTTCCCTATTGTTTGTTGGTGTCATTTCATTTTTGAGGTCATTGTGAACTGCCACAGTGCCGCCTATTTGGCCTCTTGTATCATTGTATGTATGTCGTGGATGTAGAGATAAGAGGCATTAATCATGTTTACATAAAAAAATATTAGTGTCTCAGTAACATTTAAAACCGAAAGGGAAATTGCCAGCGTCTAAAGGAAGTAATGGGCTATGAGTTCATTTGCAAGTAAAACTGTGTGAACAAATTTTCTTCTGAGAAAATGCTATTGCGCCTTAGTAAGTTATTCTTCAATTGAGCATGAAGTCCCAACACATTTTAAGCCTCAAGCAAAGGAAAGGGCTGAGAAGGAAGGATTTGAAATAAGAGTGGCAAAGACTAGCTTTAAAGCTAACACAAAAGCTCTAGCTGAGAATAAAGGGGAAGGACTTGCCAAGGTGAGACAATGGTTTTCTGTTAGTCAGATTGGTTATAAACCTATGTTGCTGCAATCATCTTATTTTTCACCTTGTTTTTGGATCATGTCGTAACATTGAAAAGTCTTTATATCTTGTGTTCTGCAGTTGATCTATAGACCAGACAATGGTGAGATCCTTGGAGTTCATATCATTGGATTGCATGCTGCAGACCTCATTCATGAAGCTTCCAATGCCATAGCTTTGGGGACCCGCATACAGGTTTGTGTTCCTTCTAAACATCATGGGACCTGGCACACTCTAGGCCACCTTTCACTTTTGTTTTGGCAAGGTGGATGGGTCTCAACACTGGCATACTCTAGGCCACCTTACACACCATCAGCACCTTTTTTCTGCTCATAATAACTTCAGCAGCTTAATCCCAACTAATTTGGGTCAATTACATGAAAATTAGTTTCAATGAAATTATTCAGCACTATTTCGTGGCAGAAATTCAAGAAAAGCATAGCGGTAGAAAGCCTTTCTTATAACCCTGTGTGAATTCCTTCAAATGACAGGTTAAAGTTGACACATCTAGCCCAGCTAGTGAGCCAATTGCTGTCTAAAGCTCCATGGCGAACTACCAAATGATTTAGGAGGGGACTCACTCGCCTTTGTGTCGTCAATATTCGTTAAGGTGATTTGTGTAATTATTCTGTGTTCCATCTTTTCGGAGGTTCAACTTTTATAGAATTTGTACTGGCTTTTGTTGCCAAGTAGGAAATGAGAAGTTTTGTTTTCATGTTCTTTCCCATAATGTTTTAGACTTTTAGGTAATAATCTTTTTTGAGTTTGGCAATGAGTGAATATATTAACATGAGGTAATATATAAACTTTTATTGATTTTTTTGATCTTTATAGAATTGTATTTTCTTTTTTTAATCACATGTTTGTTCCTAATGGTACATACATAAAGATACAAATTAAAGGTGAGACGTTGCAACATGTCTGTTCTTATACATGAAGGAAATCCATGCTTACAATCCGTATTTTTTTAAATAAATAAAATAGCTAAGACATTGGTTGTTTAGAAACAACTGATGCCTTTGCTATTTTTTTAAATTAATAAAATAGCAAATGCATCGGTTGTTTAGAAACAACCGATGTTGTTTAGAAACAACCGATGCCTTTGCTATTTTTTAAATTAATAAAATAGCAAAGGCATCGGTTGTTTAGAAGCAACCGATGCCTTTGCTATTTTTTTAATTAATAAAAGAGCAAAGACATCGGTTGTTTCTAAAGGCGATGCAATTGAATTTGACCAATTGCTTCGCTCGTATTTGCATCGGTACAAAAGTGATGCTAAAGGTACAAAACAACTGGTGCCTTTGCCCTGATATGTACTAGTGCTTGAGTTTGTTGAATGACAAATCAATTTGCCCTATCCCTTATTCTAGGAGGTGAAAAAGAGTATTTAAGTTCAGATTCTTCATGCCAAACATATTTAGATGTAGTTGTTGAAGACAATTATATAACAGTTCAATTTTTTAATGAAATCAAATGTTAGGAGATCCCAAACCACCAAATAATTTTTAAAAAAAAGGGGGTACCGATCATGTTATTGAAGTACATTGACCAAATGTCTGAATTGTGTAATGGTAAAACATTAATCGTTAAAGAGCTGTGAAAGAACATTATCAGTGCAATTGATGTTTTGCTATGACTATAAACAAAAGTCAATGTCAAACATTGTCTTTTGCTATATTATTTTTAACCAATTCAGGATTTACTCATGGTTAACTTTATCTTACTGTTTCACGAGTGAAGACAAAGAAATGATTAAAAATATTGGTTCTAGATAATAATGAAAACCCTTACAACTATACAAAAACGCTGTGTACTCTAAAGGCTTTTAAAAATTTTGGAATTAAAAAAGATTTTTTCGAGTACACTTTCAATTTCTCAAATATTATTTATTCTACTTTTTCGTTGTTGTCCATTGATTAAATATCGTGTAAGGAATATATTTACTTGATTTCGGAATAAATATTTCATTGAAAAAAATTTCAAAATTGACAAAAGTTTCGTTCGTCCCTGTGCATCGCATGGGTCAAAATACTAGTTCTAATAAAGTAAGAGACACAAAAGGTGATAGGTGACAAGTAGGTGGAAACCCTTGTAACCCGATTGTTATTAAATACTATATAAGTTGCATGGGTGAGATTTTAAAGCTAACTCTAGAGAGATAGAAATTCGAATCCCTAACATTGTGGGTTTACATCAATATTTATAGTAGGGCTAGGGGACATGACAAGGGGTGCCCACGTTGGACCACGTTCCAGGACGGCTCGAGGTGACTTGCTTTTTGTCCCGTAGCGTTTGTATCATTCCCTTGTCGGCTTGTGTTGATGGAAACAATCTTGGCGTGCAGTGCTTGGACAAGAATGTTGGAATATTCACCACAATCTTTTGTGGAATTCGGTCGCTACTGTCAGCCGTCCTTGGAGTTACTCGTGCCAACACTTTTACGTAGGAACAAACTATTCGGTAGGTTAACCGAACACGCGTCTGACTAGATGAAGATAAGCAGCACCAAGTCACGCTCTCCTACCGGTAGAGTAACGAAACTCTACCGGTCAAACTTTTCGTCGAACTGATCTAGATGTGAATCTGCCCAAATCTCTCATTTCGATGTAATATGCTATCTGACCGGTCACATACTGTGGACCCGAATTCGGACTAGGTTTGGGTGGGATACACCCATCAATGTGTTTGAAAGGTCCCTATACATTCCAACAGGTGTACAGATAGTCCCTCCAGGGACCTTTTCGCTCAAAAATCTGGCATATCGTCTATTTTTCTTTTTAAATTTTTTTATTTAATTTCCTTTTTGCCCTTCACTTACTAGATCCCTATATTTTCAAAAGGTCACCCTACATTCCTATACATCTTGAGGCAAACCAAATATATATTTTATTTTTACGGAAAAATTGAAAAGATATAAAAATATCGCTCTTTAAAAATATATGGTATGCCTGAAACTTGGACAAAAAAACTACATGAATGATTGCTTATGCACCTGTCAAGAAGTATAGAGATCTAGGAAATAAACATTTTTAATGAAAAAAGCGTGGTATATTATGCCATAGTTTTTGTCAGAAAAGTCACGGGATGGACTATCTGTGCACTTGTTGGAAAGTACATGGATCTATCAAGCACTAAAACTAATTTAGGAATATGAGGAGCACTTCTAAAACAATATAAGAACCGAGTAAGACCTTTTCCTTCTCCATTCAAAGAAGAGGAAGTTCTTCGAATTCTATGTTTTTTCTTTTTAAATTTTCTCTCTCTTCATTTTTCTAGTAAAACCAACACAAAAAACAACTGCAAATATGAATGTTTTTATATTTCCAAGACACGAACCAATTATTTTAGTTTTTTGACTAGTGAAATGAGCTAAAGTTGATCAAACAATGAAAAAAATTGGTGTAGCTTTCTGCTCTGCGCTTTCTGACAGATCCAGAAAAAAATATGACTGGGCAAATATACACTAAAGAGTATGGTGGGTTCAAGGGTGGCATGGCACTCCTGATTTTTTAAAGCATTTGATAATGATAAAAAATAAATAAATTTAATTTCAAACAAGTAATCAACTAAAAAATTTCTTTTTAAAATAGAAAAATAAAATATAAAATACATCATAACATAATATAATTATGATATTTCAAATATTTTACCTCTATATGTTTATAAGTGACTATTTTTTACTTTTAAACTAAGATTTTCTTTTGTAAGTGGGGGCAAACTAATTTTTTACTGGGGTCATTTTTTTAATTCTCTACAAAAATATCATTTTAATATTGTACAAAGTAAAAAAAAATTGACAAGGGGCGACTACCCCCGTATTCATACATGTAGATCCGCCCATGCATAGGCTTTAGTGTGCACTTAATAAACACTCCTTTATTTGAAAATAAAGTTTTGGATTAGAGTTATTGTTATAAATAAAATTTTAATAATGTAGATTAATTTTAAAAATATTGAGGTTAAAAGCTACCATTATATAACCTTTTTAAAATTCTAACGCCAAACACTTGCAATGTTGCTGAACCAAGCCTCAATTGATTAGTGATTAATGCCATATTCTTTTTTGTTGGAATTTTAGAGTTGGCTACTGGAAAAATCAGAATCAGTTGTAAAAAAAAACTAGAAAGAGTTGTAAAATGCTGGAAAAATTTATGTGTTAAAAAGCCACTCAATTAAATGATCATCCAAATAAATATGTAAGAAAACTCTAATTTTTGATAAAAAAGAATTCATCATTGTCCGTATTTGAGGTGATATGTTATAATTTTTGATATATAATGTTACTTTATATTAATTATATATTAATATATTTTTAAGTATGGAAGAAAGTGGAAGAAGTTCAAAGGAATTAGAAAGAGTTAGAAGAAAAATAAAATAAAGTTGAATGTTAATTTCTCTAACCCAAAAAAAACAGGTCAAACTATAGAGTTTGTTATCTTCAGCTAATTATTTTTACTAAATATTTACTTTGGTGTATTTCTTTGAAATCAGATTAGAAACTTATCAAATATTCTCTCCGGTCCTAAATACATGCATGTGAGTTATTGATTTTTAAGAGATTTAAGGAAAGTGTCTTTTGAAATTGAATTTCCAAAAAAGCCCTTTGACGTGATGGGTAAAAGTAGGATTTGATGGGTAGATTATTTGTAAAAATGTACGATGTGATAGGTAGGGTATGAAAAAGTAAATGATAAAATTGATTTTTTAATAGAAATAAGAAATGTTTTTTGGGAATAAATGAAAAAAGAAAGAAGAAAAGTTTTGAGGGATATAAGAATATGAAATAATGAAATTTGCATTGAATAGGATTAAAACATAAGTCATTTTCCAATGTAGGACTTAAACTTTTTTATTCCCTAAATAAAACCTAGTAATGAAAAGTGAGAAAAATAATGTCCAAGTGATATTGGACATTTAGTTGAATAATGATTAATAAATATTAAACAATGATACTATATTAAAAAATAAAAATATATGATCTTATATTAAAAAAGTAATTATGTTGGTAAATAGGGAGTAACTTAGATTCGTAAAATATAACTGCAATAATAATTTCTCATTCACTTGTAAGTTCCAATAATAATTCAGAAATGCTCCGTATGTTTTTGTTGTAGACTGGGAGGCTATTCGCAGCACCTAGCCACCTAGGTGTTCATCGAGCCGACTAAGAAGAACAATGGATCGGCGCAGCCAAGTGGCGCCTCACCTCGAGCCATGGCGGAGCCTCGGCCACAAGGTTGTGCTGGTCACCGGAGCTTCGTCGGGGTTGGGACGAGAGTTCTGCCTCGATTTGGCCAAAGCCGGCTGCAGAATCGTCGCCGCGGCGCGCCGAATCCATCTGCTTGAATCTCTCTGCAACGAGATAAACCGGACCGGGTCCGTGGAGCCGAACTCCGGCCTGCCGACACGAGCGGTTGCGGTGGAGCTGGACGTGAGCGCGACTGGGACTGCCATTGACGCGGCTGTGCAGAGGGCTTGGGATGCGTTTGGCCGGATCGATGTTTTGATTAACAACGCCGGCATTAGAGGTAATTCAGTAATTTCATGCTTTATCTTCCCTGTTTCCAATTTCGCCAGCAATTCTGATCAATTTGAAGTTACTGATGAAATTTCTACAGATTTTGGGGGGCAAAGAATTGCTTTTAACAAGAATATCACAAGAAGAAATTATTTTAAGAATTTAGTGTAATTTATTGAAATACTCTATCTTCTAAATTGGCGAGCCTCAGCTTGAATGATAAATCCATGGCACCTAAAAATATACCTTCTCGAGATGGGCCTCGAAGTGATCTTCATCTCCACCTCCAACTTAGTCGATACCCTGCTAAAACTGCACTTCATGTACTCAGTTTGAATCCCTTAGGGTTTGCCTTTACACTTCCAACCTATCATTAACTTTCTCACGCATCTCGCTGATCATAACATTCGAACTTGGGTTGCCAGCGAGAGTCAAAATGGGTGCGTCCACTGAACCACATGCAATACTCGTTACATCAATATAGGAGTTTATTATATACTCCGGTAGTCTGGTATTAATCTTATTACAAACTAGACCTGGCAAAAAGTGACCCGACCTGTTTTTGACCCGAAACCCGACCTGAAAACACTGGGTTTTGAACAAAGGTTTTGATGACCGAACCCGAAGTTGACCGAACCCGAAATGACCCGCTAAAAATGGGTCAAACCCGACCGAACCCGAACTCAACCTGACCGACCCGCTAAACTAAGAATTTTTCAAAATTATACACTTTTTTTACTTGTTTTTAGTGTATAAATTTATATTTTCAGACAAAATTTTAATGATATTGCGTAATTATCTTACTATTTTCCAAAACTTAAACATTTTTAAATTCCTTATATTGATTTATATATCTAAAAACTACTTTAGAGTTTAAAATAATATAATTTTATAGATTTAGTACTTTTTTTTATATTTTAAATTTATTTAATAGAAAATGTAAGTGTTAATGTGAATTTAAAAATTTAAAAAACCAAAGTCATAACCCGTTGGGTCGACCCGAACCCGATGACACTGGGTCATGAACATACAGTTCTCAACCCGAACCCGAATTAACCCGAACCCGAAATAACCCGAACTTGAAGTGACCGAACCCGAACCCGACCTGACCGACCGATTTGCCAGCTCTATTACAAACTTAATACCTATAGGGACTTGCACCGGGGTCCGTGGGGTCCCCGGGACTCAAGGTGGGTCCGCCTCTGCCAAGGAACCTCCTGTAGCAGAAAGTTATCCAAAGAATATAAAAAAACGAGTCAGAACAGTCCTTCGATGAAACTCCATCTCAACTGTGATGCCATCATACATGCCCTTAATTGCTCTAATGAATGCTATGGTCACCCCTTTTGCTCCAAGCATTGCCGAGGACATCTCAAGGGGCTTTGTCAAACTGTTGTATGCCTTCTCTCGATTCATAGACACCATGTGAAACTCCATCTTCCCATCCCTGTACCGCTCCTTCAACCTCCCCAAAATATGAATAGCCTCTCCAGTCAATCACATTCACACTGACATTAATCCAAAATAGTAACATCCTTTCTCAACCTCTTCTCTACTACACATTCATTGGCATTTTATGAACACACGTATTGGCATTTTTTACAATTGAAGATACTATAGTTCATTATCATTTTTCTCAGTGCATCGCACTCCAATTTAGTCCGGCCATTAAGATTTGAGTCTAATAATTGCTCACAGGCAGAAAGAATTGAAGGATTTTCAATTCAGGATGGAAGTAAAAGATGAAAAAAAGAAGTCATATTTGTATTAACATGTAGAATAAATTTTATTTACTTAGGCCCCGTTTGGCATCAGCGTTAGAGATTAGCATTAGCTTTTTGAAAAGGCTATCCGACGGTAGCCTTTAGCGATAGCGTTTTCAGAATTAATCTATACCGTTAAAATTTTATCCAAAATGCTAACGCTAATCGAAAATGTTGTTCCCAAACAAGGTCTTAATTATCTAAGTTTGTTAAATTTGACTGAAAAAAGTCGAATGAGACTATTACTCTTGGACGGAGGACGTTTCTCTATATTTCATTACACAGAAATATGCCATTCGACCATGATTCTTTTGAAAAAAAGGAGTAGTTAATGGTTTCGTAAGGCAAGAATTGTGACTATGTGGTCTTCAATCAAATCATAGGAAGGGTACACAGTACATTGGATGCAACCGAGGAGGAATGGGATAACCTCATTAGAACAAACTTAACAGGCACATGGCTTGTGTCAAAATCTGTTTGCCTGCGCATGTGCAATGCAAAGCAAGGAGGGTCTGTCATCAATATCTCTTCAACGGCTGGTCTTAACCGCACACTATTACCCGGGAATCTTGCTTATGGTTGTTCAAAGGCTGCTGTCAACACGATGACACAGGTAGATCAATTTCGCTTTTCGGCCTAGTTGACTAATACTGCTCGCCATTTGGCTTTATACATGAATTTTACTTAAAACTGAAATATTATTTGTATATTCATATTCAAAGCGTCCTATAGAGAGGTGTGTTGTGTTTTGTCGTAGGTCCTCCTGGAGCAATTTTGTTTTGGAATTCATGATGTCCTCATAAAACGACCATATTGCTTTCTTGGTTTTCTTCCGTTTTTGCAATGCGGGTCACATTTCCCCTTAAAAATCCAAAATGTAAATAGGTGATGGCACTTGAACTGGGAATGCACGAGATAAGGGTAAACTCAATATCTCCAGGAATTTTCAAGTCTGAGATAACGGAGAAGCTCCTGGAAAGAGATTGGCTTAAGAATGTTGTTTTGAGGACTGTACCTCTGAGAACATTTGGCACATCGGACCCAGCTCTAACATCACTGGTACGATACCTAATTCACGACTCGTCTCAATATGTAACGGGCAACTGTTACATTGTTGCTGCTGGAGCTACCTTGCCTGGAGTCCCCATTTTCTCCTCTCTTTGAAACAAAAATGCCAATTTGTTGGACATTGTAAATAATGAATGCTCTCTTAAAAAAGACTGGAATCTTGTATATCTACAATTGGCTTTTTGTGTTGTACATTATTTTCCAAGGCAAACTTAATTGTAGAAGTTTTAGCATTATGAGATTACAATGGCATGATCACCGAATTGGAGTTTTTTTAAATCTTATCATTCCCCGCCAGCGTTTGCTTTGTGCTCTCAAGTTGTTTGGTACTCTTTGCATCATCGTGTCCAATTTAGCCTATAAAATTCTTTTTTTAGAAAATAGCTACTCAGTACTCCCCTGTCTTAAAAATGGTTCCAGTCACGATTTGTCATGTTTTATTAAAATTATTTTGAATTTAATTTCTTTTAGAATTGGAGCAAAATTTTAAAATAAAAAATAAAAACTACGTTCAATGTTGTATGAAACAAGAATTGACTTGGGTTTTTTTTATTTTATTAACTGATCATCAAAAATATGTGTAAAAAATATTGTTTGACTCTAAGAACATTTAAGTGATTTTTGGGACGAAAGAGTAGAGTTTACTCTAAATTACTTTGGTGTATTACCCTCTCTTTATCCTTTATACTCTGTATACTGTATACTCCCTCCGTTTCTAAATATTTGCCACACTTGTATTCCCGAGGCAAAATATCAAGTTTTTTCAATTTATTTTATTTACATATTGGTATGGAAATAAAAAATAAAATTTACATATCAAAAAACTACATAAAAAGTTCTTCGAAATAAGAGGTGTCAAGAATATTTTATTTTATCAAATAACCAATGAAAACATAGAAATAAACAAAAGTTCCTGCGACTGCTGAAAAAGAAAATGTTGTGAATATTTTGGGACAGAGGGAGTATAAAGTTGAGAGTCAAATCTCTTAGAAGCTAACATGTGTCAAGCTTTAGAGATAGCATGTGTCAAGCCTTAGAAATGACATGTGGCAAATTTAATATGAATTAATTTTTTTTTTATTTCCTTATTTTTCATCTCTTCAAATATCACATCTTTTCACTCCTTTTTCCAAAGTGTTTAAAATATTTTTATATGTGATATATTAATTTTAATAAAATATTATATTGTAACAACTATACGTGATTTTTCTAAATTTTTAATACTGGACTCAAATTTAATAAATCTTAAAATTTACATGCAAATATACCAAAGAGAACTAAGAGATTTATATGTTTAATCAAATGGTTAATGAAAAGATACACATCTTGATATTGGTTTCCTCATTATGGATAAATTTTAACCAAATATAGTTTTCTAATATAAAATAACGATTGCAAATCAGTTAATTAAAGATAAAATATTTAATAAATAAAAGTACTACATTGTGTGTCTCAATGTTTTTATATGAAAAATAATAATAAGGAATACCATATGGTTTAGTGTATTCTATAATTTTTTCCTAATAATTATAATTTTCTTAAATATATAATACAAAATACAAATAAAGATTTTTTCAATATTCAAATTTTGTTATGAAATATTATATAACCACGTCAAGTTACCGGTTGTGTTTTAATAGTTAATTTATAAAGGAAAAAACTTTTGTTTTTTTAAAAAATATTTTTTCTTAAAAAATAAAATATTTTCTCATTAAAAACATAATTTATAAAAAGATATAATTTCATCATCTTTATTACTAACAGTTTTTTTGGGGGTCTTTCTATTATCGGAACATAATTTTTCGTAGAGAAGAATATAATGGTATAAATATAATAGAAAATCAATATATAAGTTTGATATGTATATACAGAGTATTTATATTTTAAAATTCTGAATGAAAAAATATAATTTTTAATAGAACATTTTAGGATAAAATAATTAACATAAAGACACAATATTTGTATATTTATGTTTAAAAATAGTCGCATAAGGAGTCATTTTGTTATTATTGACAATTTTTTTACATTAAAAAACTCTCAAACTCTGACATATGTAACCTTATTTATTTTTAATTTTATTTTGTAGTGGTATATTTTTTATACGATAGAAAAGTTAAAAATAACCGAAATAATATGCTAAAATAGAAAGTTGAATTATATTTAATATGAAATTATAGTTATTGATATTTTTCAAATAATTGGATTTTTATTTATTATATAGAACTAAAACTAATATTTAACATCTTTGCATGGAAGTCACCTAATTAAAAATAATGTTTCCTAAAATAATATTAAGAGTGAGAAATGAATAATGTTTCTTACTAAAAAGTTTATCTTAATGTTGTGAGTGTCAATCTTTATTTAATTAAACAAACAAACTTTATTTGAAAATTTATATTCGAAAAAAAAGAGTACCTACATTCTCGATCAATGTTTGTTTAAATTTATTTAATTCAGCTATTTATTGATCAAAACCTGTTTATTATCCATCCTCAATGATATATTATTTCTATAATTAAACATGATTTATTTTTATGGCAATTTACTAATAAAAAAGTCCTTTATTTCGAATAAATTATTACTTAAATATCATAAATAGTATACTAAGAAACATTTTAAGACATGTAGTAGAAAAATGTAATTATTAATATTTTTTAAAAGAATTTCATTGTTTATATACTTTATATTAAGGGATGAAATAATATTAATGTTATAATAATTTCATGGCAGTAGTATTATTGTGTGTATATATGTTATTTGAATACTTACAATTGAGATCGATTGTGGAGATTTTTTCTATTAATATGTTTCTCTTTATTAAGAAGAGTGGCATTTCTTATTTAATTAAAGAGATGAATATTTGTTTAAAATGCACCTAAAAATATATTTTAATAATAACAATAATAATACTTGAAATAAGAAGAGTAAGAAGAATACATATAGCTAATTTTTAAATCAATGTGGGAAAGAATCAAAAGGATTTTGAAGAAACTTAAATGAATCGGAAAATACTTAACGGAGTTCGAAATTTTGGAAGACTTGAAAAAACAAGATAAAGTTAAAAAGAAATCTGTATGGTTAGAAAAATATTGGAAATTAAGGGTCCATTTGATTGGGGAGAGATATGTTTTTCTAGAAGGAAATCATTTTATTAATGATATGTTATCTTCAACTTATTATTACTTATAATTTTTTAATTTTTTTTATTAGAATCAAATCAAATGAGAAATAGTTTTAAATATAACTACATCCAAATAAGATCAAACTAGACCAGATCAAACCACATTAAATCAAATCTTATTTCAATCAGATCAGAACCATTCAGTTCAGGTGAAGAGAACATGACCTTACACAAAAAATTAATCTCCCCCTCACCCCCAAATAATTTACTATTTTTCAGGAATAAATTTTTTCCCCGAAAAATATTTTCTATTTTTTGTTAGGAAGAGATTTTCTTAAATGAGTACATCGTTGAATTGTGTGTTATTGAATATATTGCAATGTAATATTAGTTTATTTCTACACTATTGATATTTGAATAAAAAATAAAGATACGTTTAGGAAAATTTTAAAATATTTTAGGCAGCACATCTAATTTAATTTTTATACACAATCGATCGCTACGAAATTTCCATTATAGAGCTGCTTTAAAGATTTGGGAGAGGGGTGGGGGCGAGGGAGGGAATGTGGAGTGGAGGAAGTTTTTTGCTTTGTTCGTGAAATCAGAGCATAGAAGAAATTTTTAGAAAAATGAACTTTCGTCAAAGCAAAGAAAAGAAATTTTTCTCTCTCTAAGAGAAATATATTTCTCTCGCTCTCTACTAACTGTTCGGCCAGTGTTGATGAACCCTTGGGGATGTGGTTCATCCTTTACAAGGGAAAACATATTTTTTTTCAAAAATAATTTCTTACTACTTATGTAATCAAATGTAAGATATTATAATTAAAATCTTTTAAAAAAATATTTTTCTTTCAACCAAACAGACTCTATGAATTACAAACAATTAAGAACAAATACTTAGAAAAATTACACAATAGATTAAAATTTTATTTAACCCCGTGCGTTGCATGGGTTAAAATGCTAGTTAAAATAAACTTCATAGTTTGGCTTCGTGCATTAAACACGCATTATTAAAAAAATAAAAGTGTATTGTCCAAATTTGTTAGAGGCAAGAAAAGAAAATGACCGTGAGCCGCTTATAATGTGATGAGTACTACGTATATAACAGCAGAGTTGGAAAAGTAAAGTTTGAACCCAAGGAGCCCAATTTTGGCGCCATATTTGTGAATTTTAGAGTTTCTTATGCTTGATTATCTGGTGGGTTTCTGTCCCTCCGGAAATTATTTGTAATGCTTTCCACTATGATGTTATCAATTAATTGCAAGTTCCTCTCAAAAAATTCATAACTGTGTGACTTTAGCTTAGTAATAATATATAAATATTACTTCCTCCGTCCCAAATTATAATGTCTGTTTTTCTTTTTCGTCCGTTCCAAAATGATATGTCTGTTTCTTTATTTCGTATGATTATTTATGTCGACTTCCCAAAATACCCTCCCATGTAATTACTCCTACCCATCCTTTCTTAATCCTACCCACCTTAAGAAAATAAAGTGAGGGGTAATTTTGGAAAATCAATTTTAATTTTTTCATTCCATAAATATGACCTAAAATCAAAATAAGCGTTATAAAATAAGACATGGAGTAAGACTTAATTATGGTATCAACAGCACGATTTGGAGAGGCTGTCAACATACTCCCGATACATCAATGTTGACTAAAATAATTAATGGAAAACTAATGAAATTAAAGAATAAAGAAAATTACTGTTAGTTTGGAATAGTGTAGAGTGCAATTTTACAAAAAGGAAAACCCTACCATTTATTTTAGGAAAAATTATCTCAAATAATCTCACCTTTTCGCGCTCTTTCAAAAATAATCCCACTTTTCACTGTCACCGGAAATAATCCCACCTTTTCGCATGTGTGCGAGTTTTGGGTCACCGTTAAAAAACTAACGGCCACTTAATGGAAGTTTTTGAAAATGCCTGTTTTTTGCAAATAAATGAAAGGTGGGATTATTTTAGAAAAATTTACTTTTTACTTTTTTAGTTTTGAATTTAAAATTAATATTTTTAAAAATATAACAATACACTCTTGTTAGAGATTTGTCTAACGATTAACAAATTTTGTTGATTGTTTTGGGAAAATATAGTATTGAATTATCAAAAATAATTCAGAGTATCGATCAAGAAAGAAATTACAATAA